CATAAATTGAAATAATTAAATGATGTTTTGCTATTCTTAGTTCTTGAGGGGCGTGTGCTAATTTCAACATCCTGTGTTGATCGAATTTTGTATGGTTACAAATTACATTAGACAACTTCACCTCTAAAATGTCATGAACTCTCCCCTTTATTCTTAGTATTAAGAATTTTGCCAAATATTTTGCCATTGTATTTTGATAATCTAAAGCAGCATAGAATAAAGCTCTACTACATTTTAAATGTAATAAGTATAATTTCTAAAAATTGAATCTAGCCATCAGTAGATATGAGTCGTTATGACCTAAGTGAAAATATCTTGACAATGGAAGAGCGTATAAAACATGTGGGCACTAATGCAGCGTGCCGATGTTTTCCTGAAGACGAAAGAAAACAATGCTATGGCAGAATATGTATTGCCGACGTACAGAGGGGCCGGGGCTACGGGCCTAGCCCAGAGGCCACGCCGCTGGGCAGAAGCATAATAACTGAGCCCTTCGGTGCCTACGCAACCACAACGGAGAATTTAGCAAACATTCGAAATGTTACACTATTTTTGGTGACAGAGTGAAGTTGTGGCCTCTCTGATTTGTTGAATACACAAGCCATATTATTTTTATCTGCACTTTCAATTAATAAAGCAGATACAGCTGTTCTCAAGCCTCCGAACAAATGCACCCTTTTTTGTGAAAAAATTGGTTTAATAGTATAAATTGTTGCATTGATAGTAGCAATCATCCCTAAGAGCTAATAACGGAAAAATAAGTTTATTTTTAGTCCAAGTAATTGTGAATTAGGTGGGAGGCTTGGAAACTCGTAAGATTTCATTCTTACATAAATACCACCAGCTATGTCTTAGGAATTAAGCAACTATTTTTATATAAGTAAATATCAACGGGCGACAAGTTTTACTGAACTTTTAGTAAATGTTTTTGAATCGCCTCTATCAGCTTCAAATAATGGAGAACCAATTTTATGAGAAGAGTATTTAAAAAAATTTAAGTGTTAAATTATTAAGGTTCATGAATGTGTTTCAACAAAGCAATTAGATAACAAAAATCAGCAACTTGCAAAGATTTAGTTCTATAGAATTATCCGACAAGAAAAATATGATTCGCCTCTCCTTGAAAACAGATAAAGGTGCTAAAGCTAGGTATTTCACACCATAGACGTATTGGTGGATGCGTGCATGGCTCGTTTTGATTAATTTATTTAAGGTCATTCTAGTCAAGACTGCCCTGTTACTGCGTTATGCATTCACAATTGAAAAGGTTTGGTTTAATTTACGTAGACATTTCACTTATAAGTATTACTGAGCAAGTAATAGTGAAATACTTCCAAGTGGTTGAACTTCCACAAACGTTACAAAAGTGTATGGATGAAGTTTTTTGCCCACGTGACCTAGACGCGAATTACTGCAAATAGCTTTCATCAAAGGCCATGACGTTAGTAATAGAGAGTGCGCAAAATGTGAAACCTTAGTTCAATCCTTAAATCTTCCTGTCTTTCAGATCTGACAAACAAGTATCAGGCTGAAGCGTACAAGACAATTCATATTACTACACTGTAATATGGCAAATACCATCCAAACCACACACACTGACTTTGCATTTGAATTATTGCGACCTACGAATATGATTTCTGTTTTGCTATTTTTATCCAGTCCAAAAAGGGGGAAGTGTCCAAAGGCATGAACTGCTAGCAAATTGGTTGGTAAAAAATATCCGCATAATGAATTTAAATAAGCAATTAGGACCAAAATCTCTCAAAAACCTTCACCGAGAATATGAAGAATTAATTTACTTGCAATTTAGTGACCGATTTTAGGTTAGAATGAAGAGTTTTAATAAAATATTGTAAAGAACCACCATGTAATCGTATTTAGATAAAATGGTAGAACTACAATGCTAAAAAGGGGGCATAAAATGCTACTTTTTAAAGAATCCCGTAATCCTGGGAAGGTCTTACCTAAAACAAAAATATTTTCTACCTGATAATAAGATGTGTATAAACAGCAGTCGCACCAACCAACTTGCAATAAAATTGGAGAGGGGAAAATGTTTTTACAAGCATCTGACATTAAGTAGCAATACTTGCGTCCACTAAAAGTTTTAATATGATCTAGAAGTTTATTGATAATATTTAGCATTTAATGACATCCCTTTGGCACAAGCATCCTTTCTAGGGATTTGGAAGAGAAATGATTCGGAGTCTGTTCATTGCATCTCAAATATTTAAACAACCACGCCTTCAAGGAACTGCGCAAAAACTGCAAGACGTAGTGCAAAAAGTGCGCAAAATGCAGACATTTCCAAATTGTGAACTACGTACGCAAAGATCGGACTGATGCAACTATGCACTAAGCTCATTTGCAGAGACCAATGCTTTATTAGTCTAATCTTCGTCTTCTCTGGTTTCTGCCTACGGTACAAGAGCATAAAGAATTGAGGAGGTATCGATGATTTAAATAAGATACAATAATCCTAGATGTCCCACCTTCGCCATGCGTTACTAGGACTTCGAATTGGTTGCTACCCTATTCAGAGAGCTCTTCAAGGTCAGCCCTTTGGAAGTGCCACGTTTTAGTGAATTCAAGAGTATGTTGAGATTGACTTCGACCCTTTTAATATGTAAACACAGATTTATTTACTACAATTTAGGTATGGATTACCTTAGCGATGGTAGGCTAGAGGTGAACGCAAAAGTCTGGGCGGTTCTCCCTATGGCTTTCTGCGATGACTCGATTCCACTTGGAGAGGTTTCAAGGGTGCATACGATTGTGCATATGCACTATACAGCACAGACATGCGTCATTCTACGGACGCTTTTTATCGCGCTCTTTACTATTCTCCTTCTGTTCTGGTTCCTTATCGCACCAAATATGGCTTAGAATCTGACGCGTGGGATTCAAGCTTGTCTGCTTTTTGACTTTAAAATTAGTCTTAAAACTTGCAAAACTTCTCCTTAAATTTCCACACCGTTTAGAGAAGTTGTGGTGCGCAGTAGCAGAGCCTAATATCCGGAAACGGTTAAAGCAAATTGATGCTTGAGTTGATTCAATCCAAGACATTTCGTTACAATGAGGAGGAACTATTCTTGTTCACACAGAATTGCGGCGCTGTTAGCACTTTGCTTTCAGTTGCGTTTGGTGCAATTGGTGACGAGGCAGTCCACTTGATTTTGTCAGCTAAAATGGAATTGGTGTCAGGTGCCTTAGCAAATGATATGAAGCCTCGGTAAGTACCACTTTGTGGTTCTTTATTTGCCGCAAGCACCCTATAAAGTGTGCCATTTTGAGGGATTATGCTGCCTGACCTGCGATAAAAAATGGATTTTGCGAGGCAAGAGAACACATTGAGGGTCATCTCTAACTGATTTACTATCCACTCTACACCTTCAATGCTTCCAACCCTCCATTTTCAGAGGATTGTGAAAGCTTTAAATGCGTGGGTGTAGATGTGTTGAACTGCAGACATGGTCTCTCACTCGATGAAAGCCAAACGGCATGACGGCTGAGATTAATCTGCCAGATACAGCATGATACAACTTAGAGGCGCGGAGGAAGAGCTTAGCCTTTAAAAACAGCCAAGAATGGCGAAATAGCTGGAGGCAAGCTCTACTATTGTGCTCTCAAGGCATTCCTTTACCACATAAACTCAAACTTCGAAACGACTTCATACCCGAATTTAGGATGAGAGAGATACTGTCTTACCTCATCCCTAGCCCAATTTCTATCACCTGCCTATTTAGGTGTTAGACATCCGTATGCCCAAATTTGAAACAGAGTAGTCATGTGCGGAGTGGAAGAAATGTGAACGTTTGACAACCAATGAACTTTCCTCGTAATAATCATTAAGGTATGCATAACAATGTCAACTGAATGAATGTGAGAATTTTCTATTTCCTGATCTCATTAATGCTTGCTTCACAGTTAGCATAATTTGGAACGATTTTCATTTTCCAAACTCTTTCAGAATTGGATACGTTACCCAAATACCACTACTTTTGCAATATGCAGAGTTGTTTAAAGTTTTGTTCTTTTGTAATATTACGAAATTTTTATCTGATCCATTTTAAAACGTGGCTGGATCCTGATTATCTAGATACTCCAAAACACAATTAGTCCAGCCTTATTATTTGGATGGCAAACTAAAAATAGATCAATTTACAGAAAATGATTTTCTAAACTAATTTACATTTCGCAAAATCCTTTCTTAAAATAATTGATACTAGTTCAGCATTATGCACCGCATTTCCCTTCTTTGACAGCACATTTGAGTCATTTCTGTTTTAGACTCGTGTTTAGCCGCAAAGCAGTATTTTACCGCCTCCTTTCTTCAGCAGGACCAATAAAATATACACTCTTAAAGTTTGGACATTGAATCGTTTTTGATACATTTATTTAAAGCACTGTAAAATAACACGATTCATATCACTGTTAATAACAGGTTTCTTTGTCAATATCGTACCAGAATCAACTTAAAATAAAGCAGATCCAGTTATAGAAAATACTTAAGCACCTCCGTAATGTAGATCTACTCCGAAAGGAAAGTTGCGTAAACTTTGAACGTAGGAGGAATCGGTACTGCAAATCAGACTACGTTTATGCACTTAAATTGTTCGCATCCTGACTAGCAGCGTTGATGAAAGTCTCTAAACACCGAAGCAGACCCTTAATTAGGGATCTATGACAGTTAGCATTCTGGGGTTATACCAGCTTAGTTCTTTTGTTTACTTGCCAAAAATGTGCTATTTTGTAGAGTAAGTACTAAATTGCTGAAGTTCCTCACAATAACAGGAATAGGAGGGTCGTAGATACTACTTAAACAAACTTTCGAAACTTATTTGATTTATTGTACATTCGGAACCACCTTAAATTTCATTTTCAATTTTATAATGACATCTGCCATGAAAATTCCCATTCAAAAGAAAAATATCAACAAATAAAATAAAATCCCCACATTTTAAATCAAAATTTACAAAGGCCGTCAGTCATTCATTGATTCACCATAGGGTTACAAAATTGGGAAAATGACAACGGTAATTGCTGGAGGGAATAAGTGGGGAGGGAGATGGAGACGAAGAGCGCTGGAAGTCCCTCCACCGACGATCAATCATATCCCTCACATAACGGTCTGCTGAGACAGTGCTATAACATTCGAATTCGAGGCGGAGGGAGGCACAAAATTTTTCGACCTGGCCGAGGAAATGGAGACTCGGACCAACGGCGGAGCGGAGGTGATTGGCCAATGTAAAGGCCTCAATTACGGAGAGCGATGAGTGGACCACGAGGTAGGCGATTACCAGACTTGGCGACCGCGACACGCCCGCCTGGCAGTGAACCAGCACCCGCCCACCTGCTCGCATTGCCGCATCTGTTTACAAAGATAAGCCGGCAAGCCATGACTTTCATTCCAAATATTCCAATCTACTATCATAGAGCAATCTAACGTATCCATTCATACCACGTGCCCCACCTGTTCTTAATGAATCGGAGATCACATTTGTCAGATCAAGATGCTCCTGTTTGTGTGCAAGTCATCATATTTGAGCCCTATTGCATGGCTGATGCAGATCACGTGACATTTGTAAAAAATTCGTGCAAGAATTCCTTAACCTAGCAACAAATAGGTCATCACGTGAATCATTTTACCGTTTGTTACATAACCCTAAGTTTGACATGACCATGCAGAATTCTTATGCGAATCAGTACAGAATAAAGTTACCAAATTTTGCAAAAATATTCTTCAAACCTTTCCTGTAGTACAACAGATTCCAACATAAAATATAGGAGGCAGGAGTTAGAGTCAGGAAAAATTCCCGCTTTTAACGGGGAATAAGGTCAAAAGTGTTAATGTAGTTTTTTAGTCATCAATGGATTTCCTGGTTGTAAATCTCAATATATGTTCATAGTGATCGTAAAAATATTATCAATATGCGATTTTAGGTCAGCTTATTTCACAGAACTTTAATGTTATTTTATTAACACTAAACTAATTGTTTCACTTAAAGTAAGAATCAAAGTTTTAAAATCCAAGTCATACCGTTAGTCATTGAGCTAAAAACTACCCTCACTCATGTTTGTTTGTTCATTCGCAAGCAATTTAAGGGATGGGAAGTTAAATGCTCATCCTGAGTTACTAAGCGAACAACATAGCAACTGGGCTAGGAGGTAAAGAAAAGGTCTCACCGATGAATTCGATGGCTGGTCTGAAGTAAGGCATAAGATCAGCCTGGTTATTGTCGTCGACGGGTACGCGGAGATACTCAATTTTTCCACCTCCTTCGAAGAAGTTGGGCTGTTCGTAAGTGGCGTTGATGACGTGTGTGATGCTCCTCTCCTCCATCATTTGGGCGTCCCTTGAATCTCGTGCATTCCCTGAACATTGGTTTATCGTCAGTGCTTGAATAGAGAACCTACCGAGAAAGAGGAATTCAAGGATCTCTGAGACAGGTGGATCCACAAAGGGTGATCGATAGGAAAAACATTTGGAATCGGAGAATCTAAGGATGGGATTGAGCTTTTGCAGCCTTTCGCAGCATCTTTCCCGCAAACTCCTTTCCTTTTGAGTAATCTTGACCGATTCCACAGCCTTTGTTGAAGATGTATCACCTCTGGTCACTATTAGTGCGTCTAGTCGACGATATTATTTTTGGTAAATCATTAAGTCATAGAGTATGATGTAGTCTGGTTACATATGTATTCAAAAATTACAAAATACTACGCTCATTTATTATTTTATCTATTCCCTTAATAAAAACTTGCTCAAAATAAACCAAGCTTGCTCAATTTACATCATATTTTCCAAATGATTAATTGTTTTTTTAAAATAGCTGGACCAAAATATGCCAATTGATGTAACTTTTCATGTCATGGTAAGGGATGGAACAGTGCATTGGCGTTACCTGACAATAACTTGACTTCAATAAGACCCAAAGGCTGATTTTGAAAGCTTGCAGAGTATTGTCTGCTCTTATAGCTGCTAATGACTGTCAACCATGTGGTGAATTTGAGTAGTGGGACTGAGAGAATCTGAGGATCTTGCCGAAAAATAAGAAGAAATCTCTTCAATTTTGCGGTCTTCATCTTTCTCTCGGGAAAATTTTGCTCCACGCTTGATAACTTAACTGATAGGAAGTAATCCACTGACTTCAACGCCGGATTTTGGAAGAAAAAGGCGGGTGCCTGTAAATTCTTATTCTTTATGAACTCCATCTAAGCAAATTCCATGCTCCAGACGACTTACACAGTGGCTATATACAGGGCGATCTGAAATATTATTGGCTTGAATGTACCAATCAACAAGCGCGGAAAACACATCCAACATGGCGCAGACTTGACAAGGTGGTTCGTATTTTAAATCTGTTTAATCATTTAAAATAACTGAATATAAGGCACCTATCAAATTCACTTCACCGCTATCAAACCAACTTATCACTTATAGAACATGCGTCGTAATTTGCTAAAATTCAACACTACACAGGTCAGTTTGGCATTGACAGTATTTGTCCGTAAGGTTTGTGTCAAGCGAAAATATGCTTAAGTGGGATTTAAGCATTTGCTTATCTTACGTTCCAAAGCCTACAAATTCACGAGGAAATTCCCGTTGTTATTTTCTACTAAAAGGTCAACTGACACAAGGAGCTACGCACATTGTTAAGTCTGTTGATACCGACTTTTGATACCGACCTGAAGTCTGTTGTAGTTTGTAGCGGAAGTTGTTTCTGGTAGCAATTACAGGAGAGATTTTGTTTTGATTATGCATCAGAAAAATAAAAAGCACAGCCTTTTACCCATTCTTTGCTTGGCTATTCTATCGTATTAATCAAAGCACCTTTGTCAGTCATTCGATGTTGTCTCAAATTTGTGATGTATTTCAAGTAATTCTTTCATTTAGAATATCCAGCTCATCAATCTTAGTGCACTTGTAATCAAACTTTCCCAGTTGTTCTGTTCATTTTAGTCATTTCCTTTCGTTGACAGGCTCATCAATTCTGCTTTGATCTGCATTATGTGTTACATAAAATTCTAGGGTATGCTGTTTCTAAGGTGACTTTCAGGCCATTGGAATTTTCAGCTTGTACTTTAGGGTGGAAAAATTAAACACACAGGTAAAAATTTACTTCTGTTTCAAAGTGTCACCTGATCCTGACTGATTTGTTTGTAAGATTTGAACGAAAACGACCATCCATGCCTTAGAGGACGATTTACACGCCATTAACGCATGTGCAATGCGTCTACGATCCAAAATTAGAATATTGTGGCTGTGAGGTGGAACCAGATGTGTGAATCGTGCCGAATAGATAACGTAAGTCAGGCATAAATTAAAATGAGTTCCACTTGGGATGCTTCTAGGGTCATTTTACTGTAACTGAAGTGCAATGTGATAATCCGAAATATCAATCGCAGTTTAAAATAGAGTCAATGAATGGAAAAATGCAAAATCTAAATAGCAAAGTAAAAAGCAAAAGTTTTATACAAACTGTTCGAGATCCCGAACGTTAATTTAAACTAAACTTCATACACAAATTAATTAATCGAACTTCGACTATTTATGAATTTATCCAGGTGGTAAAAGAGAGGTCTCTATGTTTATGAAAGTGATTGAAAATTTGCTGGAGAATGTTAAAGAACTCTTCATGGCGTGAGAACTTCACAGCAGTGCCAGAACAAATGGATCGCACTTGCAACTCATCCAGGTTATCAAGTGTTGAATAAACATATTAGGACAGATTCAATTATGAGTGGTGCACAGAACTAACTAGAAAAACCGTGCTAACCCCGAAAAGTTAGACTCGTGGGGTAAGTGGGCCCATAACCATGTTACTACGATAGGGCTATATTTAAATCTATGCGTCCTCCAAACCAGTGGCGGCAAAAGGTTCTGACCCAGAAGGTTTAAGTGCAAAATTTTCATATTTTATAAAGTGCCTGTCCCTAACAAATATAATGGAAGAGAGGGAAACACCGTTAGACACTCTATACTTTAGTAAATTTTTCGTCCTTTTTAGTAACACTCCATGACACCTTTCAGTCTGCACTTTGCTTCCGTTAAGCCGTGAGTTGCCTAGAATTTTGCGACAGAAAAAACATACGAAATTGGGATTTTGAAATATTTTCAATAGAAACTAATGGATCAGCAGTTATTTTAGAATAATCTAAGATTACTCCTAACTGTGTTGGGGAAACCCCTTTAATTAAACCAAATCAACCAATGGATAATCTTTCCCTTTTATTGTAACTTTCAGATGGACTCACGTTCTAGCCACGAAAACTATGCCAATTTGTGAATGGTCATCTTCTTAGAGGGTGCGTCATCCTGCATACGTTGAGTGGAGTCACGCTAGCCCAATCGTGGTGATCGGGTTCGTTACCTTCCAATGTCACATGCTGCACTAAAGTGTCCTAAATGTGATTCATCATGCCACAAAAGCGACTGAAAAGTGACCTTAAGCTGCGTAAGATTATGAGACATTGCTTTTATAGGTAGTATTAAGGGGGTTTAAGCCTAGGATCCTGTGCCCAAACTTTCTGAAGTTCAGACAAGCAAAGCACATCAAAGAAGGTAAAAATTAGGAGAATTTTGCATATTATTCTACAAAAGATTGAATTTCGGAGGAAAATTGAAAAGATTATAGTAGATGCTATGATATCTTTAAACAGAGAGAGTTTGTATTTTGAAGCTTTTGGAGTCATTATCCTTGATTCATTCTTGCATTTGAATAACCAAGAGTCAACCTACAGCATAAAAACATTATAAGTGGACACAATAAATGCAACGTAACTGTTTTCTTACACTTCAAATGATTAAAAAAGTGGATACCATGCATAAAATGGGGTTTGAGTACGCAGACTGCACTTATGATTAATGCTGTTGTAGAAAACATCTTAAAATACATACTTAAAAGACAAAAAGCCTAAATATAGTTATTACCTACCCCACTTAGACTCAGGGGGAACAAGAGACGAGGTTCCCATGCCACCGCAAGAAGCTTGGCACCTATTTGGTGCTGATTCATTGGGTGGAAAGGGTTACCAAAAGGTGAGTCATATCAGAGGCTTCCAGATCACACGGTTCGATGTATAACGTGCGATCGCCAGCCTTTAGTCACCGCTAGATTGTGTATTTTAGGCACAAACCTGCATAGATAGAATGTATCTGGAAACAGAATGATGGATTGAAACATTTATGTCACATATGCATAGAATTTGAGTAAATTCAAATCCCTTATGCCCATTGCACTTAGAAGCAGCCAACAGTAGGAAACTGCGAAACTCCCTATTATCTAGCCTATCTGAAACAAAACCACCTGCCTTTATTAAGCAATTAATAACAGTAAGATGAAATTCTCTTGGTAAACTGCCACTTTTAGTGAGCGCATAGGAAAAATACCCCAGGAATAAAACGTATTACACAGAAATACATAAAAAATGTGCTTCGGGAAAAATGGCGGTGTAATCATGGATTAAAATCTTCCCATTATAATTTCTAGTGGTGCTCATTACAACAGGGCCTTCCGTAGCCTAGAATGGTGCTAAAAATATTGCACTTTAAATAAATCTTGCGACGTTTGTTATTTGCCAAGCTCCAAAGCATTTCTTTGAAGGCAAAGGGAGACATAATAGTCATGTGGACAAAACTACACCTGGCTACTATGAATAGAAACCGGTTATCACCTGTTCCCTGTTTGTTATCAGTGTTGAATAACTAGCGTTTGACTCCTGAAATAGCGGTCCTAACTTGTGCCTGTTCTTCTGCTTAATTTGCACATATTTTAGTCTTCATACCGTATGATTATAGGCAAATTGGCTGCAACTTGTGTTGATGCCACTTAACAAATTACTTTAATGAAATGTGCATCACCTAGATTTTCGAAAAGGTATAATTTATCTAACAGTAGATTGGAAAAAAATGAGCTTCTAGATCATAAATTGTGCACCGAAATTGCAAAACGGAGTTTTCAAGGATACTAAAGCACATTAGCTTACATTATCCCCCACGCCGCAAATGTGGCAGTGGTGGCATGGCCCACGTGAAAGGATAAACGCTTCATTTAGAGATAAATAACAGTGGAAATTGCGTCCTGCTGTAGTCCAAAGAGCTAAAAACAAGCCTAGATACTGGTCTTCCTGATAGTTAGGGTACATAAAAGCGGCGTTTCCGATTTGGAAAACAATTTAGGTTAAAATTTGAGGCAATCGGGTTAAAATGAGGCAAAATGTTTTCAGGACTGGCAGGCGAAATCAAATTTGAATGAGCAGATAACAAAATTGGAAGACCAATGCGCACATGAAATGGGGCATGATGGATTTTATTGTGACATTTCGATTATTCGCTTATCTCCTTGTTTCGGTTTCAAGGCCACTTAAGGGTCCAATTCTATACTTCCGCTGAGTGGCATGGCCTTCGGGCCGTGAACAATCTGGAAAAGTTCGTTACGGAGCTATCCACTGTACATAATCGAAGTTTCCATTTAAGCGAACACACGAAACCTCCTCCACTTATCTACTAGTTGGACAGAACCTAGTCGGGTAGGGCTGGGCGCACTGAGGTGGCAAGGAGCAACGGACGCAGAAGCTTATACCCACGATTCTATTTCAAATGCTGTCCTTTATTAAATGACTGCTTAAAGGCCACTGATCCTACTACTGGGGATGGACATACGTGACGGCCAGCACATTCTCCTTTCCCCAATACAGTTTTTGAAAAGGACAAAACTCCAGCTTCATTGGAATCCACCAGGAGGGATCAGTGACTTTGCGGTCAAATACCCTCTCAGCTGCATGGAATTTGATGACCAGCGCAGTTGGTTCGTTTGCGTTTTCCTAACAGCACCGAATACTTTGTGAATCCCTTTGCGGGTATGACCATGGGGAGAGCCGGAGACGACGCTCAAAATAGAGAGATGTGTATTACTTTATTTATTTGTTAAACTCTTCGCTTTACTTTCGCAAGCACTTAAGGTCCCGTCCTTGTACTTCCACTAAGTGGCATGACTTCCGGGCTATGCCAGTAGCCCCTCAGCGCATTCTTTGGTCTTAAGTAAATTTAAGGGGTGCTACCTTATCCTCTTGAAAAAAAGCATTTTTAAGTCAATTATATATCGTCTCATTTTTACATTCCCTTCTAAGGCATTGCCCACATAATGTCTCGTCAGAGGCAATAAGCCTACCACTAGAATACAATTGCATTACTACCAAAAGTACATGCGAAAAATTTTATTTGAGCCACACACAATACTATGCATAAAATCAAATTGCGGAAACTTGCAGTCATGGTAACGTACTTCTACTAAAACTGCATAGCATTTAAGCGTTATTGTGGGAAACTGATTTGCTTATCCCTAAATAATGCAGATAACACAGGAAGTTTACCGAATTTCAAGCGAAAAAATATTGAGTAGCTTCCACCACAGAATTTCAATGGTGCGAGGTTTTGGAGTATATTTACAATTTAAAATCGCGAAAATTGGAAAAAGTTCGTAGCTAAGAGTAGGTGGTTGACGAATGGTTCTGACAAAAGGTTCTGAAATAGTGAGTGCAAGAGGTGCAGGGGAAAATGTATTTTTAATCCAATCTGGTTCTTTGAGGTATGAATAAGATGAATTTTATGTTTAAACTTGTTGATTTATTCATGATTCTCGTCATTGTCTTTAATAGTTGCATGTCATTAATTAAATACCTATTAAAACGGGACTTCTCCCGAGTTTGAGCATTAGTTTCTCTCGAAAAAAGAAGGAGAATTGATTGAAAATGTACAAATGCTTGAATGACTATAGGATACCAAGGTGCAATTTTCACAAAAGCTGAAAAATTTATCTTTATGCGGTGTATGCAATGTCTTCGTGTTTAGAAACTAAGTTTGGGGAACTGATTGTTGTTCCATTGACCTATCACGTCAAAAGGAAGTCAACTATAAACTGTAGAATGCATGCATCACACAAAAAATAGTTCACGCACATGAATGTTCCATCCACGTATCTGATATCTCTATACGACTTTAAATAAGCGATTAACGGTGAGAGTAGGCACAAATCAAAAAGATAGCCTAGATATTTTTTATTAGGAGCATCGTTTGTAAACAAGAGGGGTAAATACTATTCCGTCATATGTGAGAAAGCCATGAAATTATTAAGCGTTATAAAAGTGCTGGATGATAGTAAATACGTTACGAATGAAATTTGAAGTTTATTTTGAGGAAGACAAAATCTAAAACAGTACACCCGAAGGCAATGAACTAAGTCATGTCGAAATCGCATTAAACAATAACTTTAAGGATGAGAAGAGATGTGGGTTAATGAGATGAAGCAAAGTTTGAAGCATTCAATCTGCTGAGGATTGAAATGATGCTAGAAGTGGAGAAGTAACACCTTTGTAGATTGTCTTCTGCATACTTATTACTCCACTCTGCTGATTCTTCCTCGTGCTCTTCTAGAAATTCTCCTCTGTCAAATGCCATCTCCTGTTTTCCTTTAACTCCTCCCGCTCAAGCGTCTCCAATCCATGCGGTTACTTATCCACAACCTCTTTTATACCCTACAATAAATCTAGATCTGTTCTAGTGATTTTACCTCTTGGTTCTTCTTAGCTTGCACCATTCTTTATCCAGTGTATTTTTTTCATAGTCCCTTGCAAACTATTTCTGATGTTTCTCAGTGCCTCCCTTACATTTGTTTTCAAGTCTAGCTCTCAATTTAGGTAGACTGACTTTAAAAATGAACTACTTTAGCCATTATATCTACGCTATTTAATTTTTCAGCATACAGCAGACATATTTTTGCTTTCTTTTGCGAACTCTTGCCTTATACAATCATGTGCAAGATTCGTAAGACAATTCGTCATCGCTGCACATTTAAGTCATGAAATAATTTTCGAGCTCATCAGAAGAGCATAGTAGCCTGTGCATTTTGTTGTTGTAGCTAGCTGGAGGGCTATAATACTGTATATGACTACTACTATGTACTATGGGGCATAAACATATGTCATTACACAACTCATATTTATCTGCTTTTATTTTAGCTTTACGTCTCCCAAAACATGAATTCAGCCTAACAGGTGTGATTCCAGCTTGTCTGCTATTTGAAATGATAATTAGTTCGAAGGCTACAGAAGTTCTTTCTCTAATTTTTACGGCACTTAGGGGTCGGTGTGCGGCAGCACAATGTACCACCCGGAAACGATTTGAACAAATTGATTCTTACGTTGAATCACTCCAAGATGTTGCGTTAAACTGAGAAAGAACTATTCTTGTTCATGTAAAATTGTTTCGTTCTTGGTGCGTCACATCGCGAGTAAGGTGGCATAATAATTTTCAGCAGAGTTTAGTGTAACTGGTAACCAAACAAGCGATCTGAGCCTGTCAGCTGGGAAGGAAGCGGTGCGGTAATTTCTAGGCAAACTGGTATCGCGTGTGTTAGCAGGTGGCAGGAATTTCTGTTGACCATCAATTTGCAAACAGTCATTTACCATAAACACCCTGTAAAAGTACTCCACTTTGGAAAATTTTGTTGTCTGACTTTCAAAAAAAGCGGATTTTGCATTGCAACCTTAGTTAACCGAAAGAAGACTTCATCGATGGTCATATCCACCTGCCTTACCATCCACTTTACAACTCTGATGCGCCCAACACTCTATCCGTGGAAGAATGTGTTAGCTGTGTGCGCCTGGGTGCCGATATTTGGCGATAGCAGATACGATCACTCACTTGATGAAGACCAAACGGCAAGACAGCTGAGATCTATCTACCAGATACAGTAATATTTACGTTAAAAAGTGTATAACGAAGGACTTGCTTCAAGAAACATCCAAGATCAGTGCTTTAACTGGAAGCACCTTCCACCACCGACCCCTCTTGTCAACCTTTTGCCTCATAACCTGGCATATCACATCTTGAATTACTGACAAACTACCTGCAAAGACTTCATGGCAGAAGTCAGGATACTGGAATTACTACCTTACCTCATTCTCAGCCCTATTTTCTTTATCTGCATCCTTGAGAATCATATTTTTCCGGGTAAGAGTTACCATACTTAAGCATTAGACAATCGTAAGACCAAATGTGAAATAGAATAGCCATTATAGAAATAAAAGTAGGATAGAAAGGAGGCTGATTTGCGTTAGATTTTCCCTTAGATCCAGGAACACCTTTTACGTTTGAAAACATTGTGTAAATTGAGAATCGGCAACGATTTTAAAATCTAGTTAGGTAAATATTAGTAGATTCCAATTATGAGTATTCCACTGCAGTCAGCTAAGATTATGATCGGAGCCGTATAAACTATTTAACTCACTTACTCCTATTTTTAGCTACGTTTGGCAGAACTCATCAATGAAAATTAAGATTCATAGTGCCTTATAATATCCGTTTGTGGCTTCGTTTGCCTTAATCAGTTTCAACCTTCACACTCCTCTGCAATACTTTAATAGGCTTGCGTCAACAGGGCAATAACTAGGAACATGGAATGGCACAATTATTTTTAGGAAATCCGCCCAGCGTAAAGGCAGTTTTGTTGGCAAATGACCTAGGACAAGTTCACCGTTTTAAGCATTAACGGTAGTGGCTATGAAGGTTTAACGAAAATGTCCGAAATATCATTCTTTTTCAGAAATAGTTTTTATTCTCAAATGACACTAATCATTAAGTTTATGCTGTTCATATCTGACCTAGTAAACTACGATACTTCTTTTAATTTTAGAAACATTTATGTAGTTTAAGAAGCTTTTCATCCATTTAGACTAAAGTCCGGAATGTCCATTGTTTTTGGAACAACTAACCACAAATTGATGAATAGTCAATTCTCGTCGTTCACTGGAGTAGATGGCATTACCGTCACCGCAAAAATGCCAGAGAGGAAACCTTTTATTTTAAGCTCGGTTGTGGGTATTGGATTGGGGTTGAAGAACGTCACATGGAAATGAAATTTTTTCATCAGCATCGAAAGTAGTTTAAAAGAGCCTTTGCACCTAATGCCATTGTTTCAAAACTTATTCTGATTTTGGTCGAACAAAGTCGCTAAAAATGCTCATGGTGGCCACATTTCTGGTCGAAACTATTTATCAAATTCAGTTCATGAACTTTAAGAGCTACACGAAATTTACCCTATTTTGAATAATTTCTAGTCTTTTTGCTTGGTCACTCGCTGTTTCGGTTGAAAAGTAAAGACCAGCTTCCTTTGCTTTCTTGTCCCACAACACAATATCGTCTGGAGTTCATAATTGATAGTGGTTCATTTTCAGTACTCGTTTTGCTACATACTAAACAAGTTACATAGCAAATAGGCTTTGGTTTCGAGAATTAGCGATTGGAGGTTTAGTGGTTAAGGTAAGAATATTTATAGTTATGGTGATACATAAGGGGTGAATTTAGGTGTCAGTTTTAGCTATCAATGGTACCACCAAGTTTCTCTTCACACAGTTAAATATAAGCAATGACTTGGGTCGCTCCCAGCAGCTAGGCTTATACATTTCAAGTCAAACACAGAAAATCACTTGTTTATATGGAGATAAGCCATCACGACCTTCCATCAAAATGCGTCAAGGATACAAATGAGAGAGTCACAGGTAGTATATGGCATTTAAAAAACAAAAATTACTAGAATGCAATTATCAAATAAGCCCTGACGTGACAGCTGAAGAGGACAAATATTGAAAGTGTAGTCTGCCCCATCCAAATCCATCATCCATTGCTCGTCCTAAGCTTACAGACTAGTGACACTGAGACAGTAACCTAATCATAGGGGATATTTCCAACTTTCAATCTCATCATTTTGGTATGACTTGCATGCAAGTATGTTTTCTGTCAAATGTGTATCGAGATTGTGATACTTGAAGTGACCATGACGATAGTGTTTAAAAACTACCGCTAAACGAAGCCTAAAAAACATATTTACGCTTAAGCGCTTTAGTACATTAAATGAGCTTTATAAATTACTTTAACCAAGAAATTTTCGACAGTTTTTAGCTGAACTACTACACGGAAATGTGTGAATATTCTTTATAAAAATGAGGCTTGGAAAGTCTGCTATTGAAAAAGGGAGTATTAAATAATCCAAAACAAGTTTAGAGGACTGCAGAAATGTATGTGATAAATTAATGATTAAATGAAGTATCCCATTAAAATACTTTATGTACAGTTATAAACCTTTTGGGACCTTTAGCTGCATTTGCCTGGTCTAGCAAATTATAACGTTTGCGTTTTACTTAAAGACGCCAAATGGCCACGAATACGGTAAATTGTTCGACATCTCTTATTCCGGTGCCCCGAATCTTCTGCGAAGAAGTGACAGACCAAAGTGGTAAGTCCACACTATTACTAGTAGCATATTACTAAGGTGTGGAAAAGCCGGGGGCTATCAACATAACCTGAGCACCACGTCGAGAAGCCGAAGTACGAACCGTGGAAACTGAAGCATCCTCGTGGCTTGAATACATAGTCAAAAGAAATGGAAGATCATCTCGCGTACCATGCTTGTTTATTTCGAAATGTTTGGCCAAGCTACAATGACTTTTTAACTTGACATTACCGTTAGATTTAAAGAAATACTAGAGTTAATAATATTTTACACAGAGAAACTATATCATCCTAGTTTACAAAGCAAATTCTAAAACAAGCAAAGTAACTAATATAGAAACTAGGTAATGAATAATGTATCCAATTAATCCATGCCTGCGTTAATCGGTGGAATTACGGGGACGACTGAATGAAATTAATCCTATCAAAGTCCCTGTATGTACACGATGTAGTTATTTATAATTTCATTTAAATTTTATTGCCCGCCAGACCTCGAACAGGCTTAATATCATTTCAAAATATTAGATCTTTTACAATAGCGATGTATTTAAAGGAAACAACCAGAGTTTGGGTAGTAGTAAAGGTTTGTACCCAACAACCCACCTTCTTATGATTTATTGCTACTGAAAAAATATTTAGGTAGCACTTAAATACTGCAGAACTAAATTACATGGGGAAAATTGAACTGTAGAGCCTTTGTTTTTAATCAGGTAACAGAACCTTTTAGCAGTTAAATGAACCAGTTTTGGTAGGAAATATCTTACTAAAATGTTTACTTTGTTATAACGTTGATCTTAAAAAGTATAATTTTCTGGGCGATTAAGTGTTGCACCAATTAGTCAGAATATCTTAAATTATTTTAATCTTATTGCAAAAAAAATGTTTTTGGACTCAAAATTTTCTTCACAGTTCTTTTGCGTAAACAGCTGCTGTTTTAAGAATGGTCTGAATGAGTTATAAACTTCACTTACAACTTTGTCTACATCTACGTGAACAAGAAATCAAACAAAGGGTCTAGAATGACAAGTGGAATTTGTACTCACTCTGGTGTTTCTATTAAATGCGTTTTTCCCTCATCTGCATGGAATGTGCGAACGGTAGGCAACCCGATATCTTTTCACTCTTTGGAATTTTTGCATATCTTTACCATTCGAACATCCGTAAACGCAGACACTTAAGCTCGCAAGTGACCAAGTAGATTGATACACAATTAGTCACACGGTAACATTTCAATCAAACATTCAGGGGATTTTTAAAGATCCAGGTAATTGATAAACTCAATTTTAGTTAGTGTAATAGTCTTCACATAAGACAATTTTTTGCAAGCCTACCCTTTTTTACGTGAATGCTTGTTTCATTATGTGCTTGTTGGCACTGCCAATGTGAATCATGCTGCGGCATTGCTGGCAAAAGTGACTTGTGACCTTCGGCAAAACAGACGCATCCATCACTGTGTTCGCAAGACGTCTGTGTGCATGGATAAATTTTATAATAACCAGAAAAAGGTCTGTTTTCGAACAAAACTGGGAAATTTCGTATGAATGTTCTCATCCCTAACTTAAAAGTAAGTGATAAGTTGGTGCATTGACACTGGTATTCCTCATTTCTTATTATTTGAAAGAGCACGAAAACGTGATTTTACATAGCACTTATTTGTAATTTCATGCATCATTGAAGGTACTAAATGTTTTATTGGTGGATATTTGGATTAACAAATAAAAAATATAATGATTCGGAGGTACTAATGTAAGGCCATTTATATGCCGGTCTGTAGCTAAACACTAGATGAATTGACCATTTTTGGGTGATCTGACCTCAAACAAATTCACCTTTACGCAAAATAATTTCAAAATTTACCACCAAATAACACTCAGTTCCTGATTTATTGACAAAGTCATGGAAACAAGGATATATGTCGTTCCGAAGAAAGTCAACGGTCGTTTATTTTAAAATTAATAACCAATTTAGGCTTTATGTCATTTAAAACTGCCTGTGGCTGCGTACAATGGTGACCACTTTAAAGCCTTTCCATTGTCACCTTCTGCGACTTCCTGTAGACAAAAGTATACATAATGTTAGGGTGGAATATGTATTGCCGGCGTACTGGAGGGCTAGGTGGAGCCACTGACCCGGCCAGAAGGCCACATCGCCAGGAGGCAGTACAATTACGAAGCCTCAGGTGCCCGCAGACCAAAAAGAAGAGTTAAACAAATCTATTAAACTCTTTGTTTGAGTGTCGTCCCCGCCACTCCCCTTGGTCAACCTCCGGCGTCTACCATCACAACCTAGTCGGTGATTTAAAAACAAAACACCTACAAACCAACAGCGCCAGTTATCGAGTTTGCATGCATATGGCGATTGTACTGGATATGGGGTCTCGTCCTGATTGGCAACTCTATTGGGGAAGGGGAATGTGCAGGTCACCTGGTATGTCTGTCGCTGGTCGTAAGAGCACTGACCTAATGAATGGAGTTTGAAACAGCTATGTCAGGATAAAGTTTCGCATCTGTTCTTCCTCACCATCTTGTTCTTACTTCACTGCTGCCCACTCACGCCTATCTGAGTTCTTTCAGCTAGTACTCACTGCATTGACAGCATCAAACAGGTACCGTAGACAGCTCTATAACGAACTTTTTAGATATATCACACTTACAGCTGACGTAGCTTCAGCTGTTAATAGCACAAGGGATTGGGATAATTGTCGAAATTAGACTTCATTTCAGCCTTTCTGTTAGGGGTCGTCACAGATTCACCCATCCACAGCATATGTCCTTCTTCCATCATGCTAAGGTTTGGCATTCGGTTGTAAAAACGAGGGTGATTGTTCTTTTAGTATCGGGTGCAATTTGGGCTGCCACCATTGTAGAGCTCTGAGGTTTCTGTAATTACTAAAGAAGGCGTAACACTAGGACGGAATGTGTATTATTGACGAAGAAAAGGACTGGAGAGATAATTGAATGGACTGGAGGCCATGCCGTCCGGCAGAAATGCAAAAGCGGAGCCTTAAGTACTCTCGAAAACAAAAAGGAGAGTTAAGCAAATAATCAAACTACTAAAATATATCCTTCATTTGTATTATGGTATGTTAAGTTTTGCTTTTTATTTAATCTGCATTACCCATAAGCTCACATACAGCCTTAGAGTGCTCACATCGTAATTTTTTAAGATGCCTCAAAGCTCCTTGCGTTTCTAATATGCCTCCATTTTGTGTCTCCCTTTAGTACATTCTTATTGCTTTACTTAAAACAGTTTAGCAGAAAGGATGGGTAACAGATCATGGCATCACTCGTGCTCTCGTGAAGTAACAGGTACTTCCTTGAAAGGATTAGAGTGATAAAACACACATATCCTACAAAAATACTTTCCAATTAATTTTATACAGTTCATTAATTGAAAGAAAACAATAAGATTGCATTTCCCTCTTTCTTGTTGCTTACTATTACATCCACAAGAATGGAATAATTTATCTTCTTTAGCTCATTTAAGCCAAGGAGCCTGCACTCTAGGCTGGATCCGTAAAACTCAAGTAAATATTGCTTTAAGAATTTGCATTTGGTTCAGGACCGCTGAATAAGAGGCATAAAATGAAAAGAGCGGACTACTTCATCCATTAATGTCTTATGCGTCTACTAAAAGATGGTATCTGGGCTAAAGACCTATCAGACCAATTTCAGATATATGAATGTGGCACCACAATTTCGTTGTGTTGAAGTACACTGAAAATCGAGCAGTAAAATGCGATTACATTGTTCTTAAAAAATCCCCCCAACCCAAAAATGGCTGTCTAGTAAGAAGCATTATTGCGAAATATCCGGGGCTTCACAAAAAAGAATATCTTGAATGTTTTTAAGTATCTGCAGTTTTAAAATGTAGTCTAACTAGGACAAAGTATTTCTATTTACTCCCAGCTAGAATATTATGTTCGCAGTTTTGTCTAAGTCATTAATAAAATTTCTATTCTCATCATAAATTTCGCATTCGACTCTTAAGCATTTTGGCTAAACTTCTTTTCGAATCTTCTGTTCCTGCTGATATCAAATCAGTTTTTGGTCGTTAAAGGGGACTGATTCACGCTGTAGTAGCATAAATGGCCATTGGAAGCACGTTTTGAAGTCTGATGAAATTCACAAAGGTGGTTTACGATGGCAGCGTGCTAGTAAGATTTTGCAGTAAAAATTTGTTTTCTTAATCACCGTAAACTTCATTTTCTAACAAAGTAATGCGGTTTATGCGCTTTAATTACCATCATGTAACCCCGGCTACTTCAGCAAAATGCCTCAAACAATGTAAAAGTCTGGTAACAATGCTTTCCATTAAGTGGAGCATAATGCATGATTGATGAACTCAAGTTCAACCGTTGCATGTAGTTAGAACACGTGACGTGTCTTAATGGTAGCAGCCTACAGCGATTTGCATGTGGGAGTGTGCTTCAGCTCCTTCCGTTGGAGCCATGAGACTACCAGTAGAATGTAAGCATACAGCATACGCACACTCACCTTGAATGGCCAAGAAGGTGGTATGCAACAGAGTGATGGCATTTCGTTTTTAGCTTTCACAAGCGGACTAATCACTGTCCTTGAAAATGATTGTGAAAACATCACACTGAAATCACACCACAGGTGAGGGTCACTGTTGCCTCATTGATTTCAAGGGGTAGATTTTCAATTTGTAAAATATTCTTGACATTAAAATAATTAAAAGTTGTTGTCGTCTCTAAATTTTGCTTTTTTGATGTTTTACTTGAACAGGAATCCCATAACTTATCACGAATATCTTTTATATTTTGTGCAAAAGTAGGGTCTCACCTATCTTATATTATTTACTGATTTGAGTCCACAAAATGATATGCACATTAAAGCTCTACTGGTTTCGCCATGAATTGGTAGCAGTGGTTGCTGCATTCAAAGCGCAACCTTCATTAGGTAAATTTGCTTGAAAGAAAGTTATGAATATATTGGCGTGCTTCTGCTAAGTTCTCTGTTAGTAAATTTTCCTATCACGTACATACTAATTGATCATCGGTATCAGACCAAGAGCTTTTATCTTGGTGATCCCTTCCGGAGGAGGTAAGCGGGTATTTGCTATTTATCTCCCCGAGACTATTTTAAAGACGAATAAAATTAATGCTAGGGTAGATCATGCATTACCAACGTACGTAAGGACTGGCGACTCCTGGCATAGCTCACAGGCCGTGCCGCCCAGCGGAAGTACAGAAGTGGAGCCGTAAGTGTCCTTAAAACCAAAACAAAGAGTTAAATAAATAACCGAAGTATTACAGCTATACATATATGAACTCGGTGTTTCCATTTCATTGAGTGCTATTTGAATGGTAAAAGAATACTCCATAAATTCCTAATTTACTAAGCTAAATTCACCAAATTATACACCTTAGACTTTGAAAACTGGACTTTTGTCAATTTTTTTAAATGCACATCGTAATAATTTACGTTGATGTGGTGATAATATAACCACGCCCTTTGGGTAACTGCCTAACCCCATTTAAGTTTGAAGAAAATTTGATCCACTTTTTATTGGTTCATTTTCCAGTCTCTGTATAAATTAATATGGCTGGGTTTTCTTACGAATTTGTGCTCATGTTACACGGACTGGTAATTGACAAGCCGATCGCTTAACTATTAAAATGGCACACAACCCAAAGCACGTGGTTACGTTGTTTATTGGAGGCGTGGGTTTTCAACCACATCCCCCTTTTGTCGTTTGAGTGCACACAGCATCACAGAAGTACATGAGTACGCAGCAGTGAAACGTGAGACTCACTTCTATAGGATGTATTCCATTGCCACAAATCCTCTTACGCTTCAAATCGTTTTCTACTCAGCACAAATTTGGTGTCTAAATCAGGTAAATCACTTGCAGATTCAGTAATATTTCATAGAATGTGCATAGTTACCTTTTAAAGTCCAGGGATTACATTTTTATTCACATCATGGATGTATCTAACGTGAAGCGCCAGATTTGTAGACTGCTTTTGCAGCACGCATACATCTATTTTGATTAATCTAAAATAATCCTTTTTGTGTCTATAGCAAATATAGATTATGTTATTATCGGATTAATTTACGATTTTTTGGTGATTATCACTTATCGAGCGGAGCTGTAGCCACACAAAAGCCTTGTCAATGCAAGCTACTAAGGCTGGGACTGTTTACATAGCGCGACATTTTCCACAAGGGATTTAAGTGACCTTTTGTAACAGGGTCAGCCCATAAAATGACAATTTTAAGGTTACGGTTGCGCCACCGATGGATTATTCTCTACCCACCAAAGAAAGTTTTCCACAAACCAACTTTCTAGGCGAATCACTTTCATCCTGCGGAACCGGTAACAAGTAGAATATCTACACGTCTAAACATAGATGGACAAGGGTTCCCAGATATGGGCCTGCTTTGTATTTCACCTTTAAAGGGAGATCACTTTGAATTAAGTGGGTTTTCTTCCTTTATAAAGTACAAAAATGCAAAGGTTTATTAACGTTTTTCGATTTCTGCATCTTATATTCCAAGTTTGATAGTTCTACTTAACTATTACAAATTGCCAACGACATGCTTTTAAAACGGAAGTTTAGTTGCATTTCGCAAACATTAATGAGATACAAGCATCATTACAGTAGCGATTCCTGTTCCCAGGAGGGGATTGTAGGCAGTACAAAAGCGGCAATTCGGGGCTTATGAATGCCATTACTTTTCATACCACATTCCATAAACTAATTACGAACTAATCATGATTAAATTCCGCCGCAAAATTTCGCATTTGGAATCTCGGAAAGAAAAAATTGCTAAAAAAGTGTAGACAAGAAGCACTTCACAATTATGATTATGACTCTTATTTTAAGCTGGTGTTTAGTGTAATAAAAAGAAAGCCTCCTTTTAATTTAGATCTCATGTATTTTTGTATTCAACATAAAATTTAGATACACTATAAGCCAACATTAGCTTTTCGGTTAACACTTGTTTTCTTCACTTGTTTACCACACCATGAAAAGCAGCATTATACTTTAGCACATTTAAACTAGAATGGATCATAATCTAAAATAAATATTTTAAAAAGTTCAAAATCAATTAAGTGAAGAAATTAATATAAGTTCCTTACAATCTTCTGCTTTTCTGTCTCATTTTTTAGCTTGACAAATGAATGTCCACACCAACTGTCTGCTTGTGATTACATGGTAGATCAAATCAGTATTTCCACGCATTTCTAAACCGTCTAATTCATCAGGCAAGCGATGGCTGAGCAGTGGGTGCGTGTGCACTGTAGGAACATTATGGTCTTTTGTTTGGTTAGCCATTATTGCATTGGCTTTTAGCCGGCATCAATTAAGAGCAGGTTTTAGATCACACAATTGCGAGACTATGATCTTCAACTGATTTGCAGATGTAACCAAGTAGTTTTTATAAAAACGCTTTAAAAATGCTAAATGTTGGGAGTATTTTACGGTCCTGTAACATTAAAGAAGCGGGGTTTTCCGAACTGTACCAAACTTTTAAAACAAGAAAATATGGTTTCAACCAACTATTGTGTTCTTCACTAGCCAATCCACAGAGTACTTTTTTCGGAAATGATTGGAAATCGGTGCCTATTCACTTTGAAAGTATTGACTAAAATTGCCCTTCTTGCCTTTTATTAAAACAATTTGTACTTTGGCCTGAAGAAAGCCCAAATATAATAAAAGGATTCCTTATTTACTCTCACTGCGCCTGTAATTTGAAAATGGTTTCCTTGGTTCAAAATAATGCTTTAATTAGCTGAAACCACTTTATTGCTCATTTTTGAAATGAGGTTTTATCTGATGCTGCGTTAGTTTGTTTTGCAACACTTATAAGACAGGAACGGATTTTCAGATTGAATATACCTAACCGACCAAATTGTAGGCTGATTGGAGGGAATATCTATAAGATTGCCTTCCACTTAAATGAAGCGACTTAATTTCCCGCCATCCATTGGTCAAATCCTCTATTTTTGGCTAATTTCAAAAAATCTTTTGGGAGCCAGGCGTCACTACTCCTAGGTGTTACCTATTTTAGTTTGCATAATATTGTGCCTTTTGAGAGCCTTTTTTCGACGAAGTAATAGCATCGCTTCTATACTACTGTGCCACCAGTCGGTCTCACAGTTAGAAGTGTTATTTATTATAAGACAGAAGTAATATTAGTAGGTGATTTGTAAAGACAATATCTTTGAGCTACCACTAATTCTACATTGCCTAATACCTAAAGTAGCTTCATTTGTTTAACACAAAACAAAATTTGAACACTAAGACTACAATTATCCTTCATGATAACAAAAATATCGCTAATACATTAATTTTGCATGAAAAATATTTACAAAAGACACACGGTTCTTTCCCCATTTTGGAAAAGAAATATAGCTGTGTATTTGCAAATTGTACAGTATTATGGGGTACAGTTTTTAGTGGAAGATATTAAAATGCTTCCACTTTAAATTAATACTGTCCATGGATAAAAATAAAGCGACATTTTGATTAAAAGAACATATATTTACTACATGACTACATTAATTACATTACATTAAGGTCACAAATTCGCATTAGGTTAGGTGAATTCTTAAGCTGATATCTAAGCGTGTAAATTTTAAAGACTTTAATGAAGTAAAATTTATTTTTTCTTTTAGTCTGACATCATGAACGTATGTGGGTGAAGTCATCAAGATTTGGAACGCAAGACAGCGCCTTCAATGATTACTTCAATCATGGGTAGCCCGTGTCTAGACTCAATGGAATCCAATGTGATATCTTTAGCACAACTACTCTAATTTTTGAAAAGCATCAGTAATCATAATCATCAAATCTTTTCTCTAAGAAAATGATTGCTTTTAAAGGTACAATTTGTATTGCTTATAGACAGGATTGTGGTAACGATGAGATTGAAATCGTCAGACGAAGATAGTAGGTCATTCAGGAGTGTTCCATTATCGTCTTGCTTACCGAAAGATTTAGCACATTTATCGGTGCAGCTTTTTGTGCTCGTGGTTTTCGTTTCTCCTTCATGCGACGGTTTTGAAACCATGTTCTAATCTAAAACACACCAACAAACAGATGATTTGATATTGCACTTAATGAAACTGTTTGATCTGTTGGGTTGAAATGATTTAGCTGCATTAGTGGGCAAAGTAAAGTTGTCACTAAAGAAACAGGAACTCACCCTATCCTCTGATAGACCGAGTCTCTGAGAGAGCAGTTCTCTGTCATGTGTTGAAAGGTAGGTTTGATGCTTGTAAAAGCTCTCCAGAGCATAAAGATGATGTGGTTGAAAATAGGCACGTGCTTTGCGGTAGCGTTTAGCGCTACTGCCGCGCTCTTTCCCATTTTCAGTGGAATCAGGGACTCCCCTAGATATCTCATTTGAAGTTTTTGGTGCTGCACCCGCACTTATTGATGCTGCTGTTGCCGCAGATGATGACGAGGTAGTGGGGGAATTGGGAGGAGAGCAAGATGATTCCTTGAAGGTATTTCCATCTGATTCTGTGAGGTCTTTAGCTGCTACTGTCTCGTCTTTGGTTGATGCGAGGTAGGAGGGGGTATCATCAAGTACGTGGACCTCCCGTTTCGTTGCAAATATCCTCCAGGAGCTGACTAAGCCCTCAAGGAGTTTGACGTATTCTAAAATGGATAAACATGAAATATTAATGCGTTATAAGTTTATTATTGTAGCAAAGCAAATTCGCTAACCTCTGGGCCGACTGAGTCCCCAGTTGGGCGAGAGCAGTTCCTTGGGTGATGGAACAGTGGGGACCACGCAGGGTGCATATTTGTCTGGTAGAAGTAGAGAAAGGGGTTTAACAGCACAGCTCAAGGCGTTGCGGTGATTGCCTAGGAGGATGGAGAGCGAACAAATAGCGTCTCTGTCTGCGCTACCTAACATTGTTGCCGCTTATGCTGAGCGCCTCGACTAACGTGCTTTAATAAGGAGCAGTGATTACTCCTGCAGTCTTATTGGCTCATCATCCACAAATTGGTGAGTGAATTGTTATGAATCAAAAAAGTGGAAAGAGATAATTGGAAAACACGGTTCTGAGTGCAACTGCACCTACAGTATGCGTAAGCGTGTGCCTGCTTTTGCCTAAATTATGAAAGAGATAAAGATGAGCTTTAACATTGACGCCATGCTCACCTACACACACACACGCACTTCATCGATTGAATGTCAAGCCAACAATCCAAACGTAGGCGTCGTGACAGAATTCATCGCTTAAAGCGAGACCTAAGTGCGTGCGTCCTCATCAGTAGTAAAAGGCATTCTTTTAGACAGCACCGACATTTGAATTTCCGACTAGCCAAACTAAGATAACTGTATATTCATTTACGTGAACTAAATTAGGTCGCAGAATCAGTTTACAGTTAGTGAAGCTCATAATAAATATTTCCACGGCATAATGGATTAAGTCTCCTTCGCACAGTCTTAATATGTTAAAACAAATAGGCAGCCTACTTGATGCAGAGGAGATGGGCATAATTTCATGGTTTCCTAGAAGAAGATTAACTGCTAAGGGACATTATTCATGTATCAGGGACAAGTGTGTTATGACAAATGTTAGAGGCGCCCTTGGGAACTTGACTAAGCTGGTCACCTTTAGCACACGGTTTATGATGGTGGCTACTTTGATGGTGGTAGTGAGCGTGTACGTGAACCCCTGCACTTTAATGATTGGGTCGTATAAAAGAGGTGGCAAAGACCTAACCAAATGCAAACGCAATCCTCGCAATCCATTAACTTATTTAATTACCTGCACCATAGCACTGCCGCCAAGCTACTACCATTACAACACTTTTTCGAATTAAACGATAACGTGTGATGCAATTTGGATACATATCTACTTATCGCATAAGTTTGATAAGTTCGTCCTGACAGACGCTGTTGACCAATTGATAAGATAAATGCATATGTGGTATTCATAAAAAAGAGCAAGTATCGCTAGGACCATTTTTTGACAGGAGTGTTAGAGTAAAAATTCCAAATTTAGTTTAGAAGAGAAAATTTAAAAACATGCGAAATCACTGTTATTAAAATAGATACCCGAGAACGTTCTAGAATCCGACTTGCTTGTTTGTACAAAATGTCCTGATATTTAGCTACAATTTGTAAGTTTAAAAATAAAACCTGATATAAACATAAATGAATAAGTATAGCTTAAATTGTACCTTGTTACTGATGTTTCACTAAACTTGATAGTCTCAAATGTATGCCAAAAATTGTCTTGTTAATATCGGAAATGACTAAAAAAGAGAGTATTTAGGTAAATCCTAACTTTTGTTAATAAAAGGACTGCAGAATATTCTTGAAAGGTCCTGCTACTTGTTTCCTCTTATGTGCTAATACCTGGCTTGGATAGGTCAACCTGGTATGACCTAGTTGGGTAAGTGACCAATCCGTCATATTGGTGAGGCTAAGAGCACAAAAAATATCGCGTCATCCAAATATGGATCGGCATTTAGTGACATGGCATTCACTAAACACAGACGCAGGGGCATGAATTTTAGGGAGAGATAGGTATAAGCCAGCCAGGTTTGGTTACATAAAATAATTATATGCAAGCAGAATACTGCATGATTTCTCATCCACATAATAAAGGTTATTATACTTTGGCTCCAAAGCGCATTCAAATAATATTTAACAAAAGCTTGCCACTAGATATGATGATATGGATCAGTCATAATTCCCAAATACAATTTATTTATACAGGTTTGGTTTCCTTCCCCTTAGAAACAAAGACCCACGAATGGAAGGATATATAAGCACCGTGCTTAAGCTAGATTTGGAGGTGATCGAGTCAAATGAGACCATCCATTTCGTATTCAACCTATAGAAATGAAATTCTTGAGTACCCCATCCCATTCGTGGCTTACAAGCAAAAGTTAAATCCTCACATCTTATAGATACACTTTATTTTTCTCCATCAATGGCATATTTTTAGTATTTTGAGGATATAAACCATTTTCCACTTAAGGTGTATGAAGTTGTTTTATTTGTTATTACATTGTTTCGAAATATTTAGGGTTTTTTAGGTGTGGTACCCCGGAACTCCCCTGAAGACGAAAAAAGACATAGTTTTCGACCTACAGAAGGGGCCTAATGGTATGGCCTGGGGGCCAGACAGCCCGACGGATGTACAATAGCAGAGCTCCCAAGTGGCCCAGTACCAAAAAAGCGAAAGTTAAATAAACGATTAAAGTATTATGCTAGGCTTTTGCCGGGATTTTATTATGCAGAATTTGTAGTTATATGAACTAATTCAAACGAATTCAGCGTAGGCAAAAATATAATTAGTATGTGAGTTGCCCATATTTTCTCCGACTATGGCCAAAGCAGTAGCAGTTCAATCAGGAGTCCTTTTCTAACAAGGATCCTGTTGGAAAATAAGACACATTGATTCAGAACTAATATTTCTTCATAAACTACATGATCCTGTTGGGGAATAAATGTAATTACATGCTAGAAATAATTTTTTCTTCTGTGCCCTTCACCTCCAAAATTCCCCGAAACCCATAATTTAATGTGACTACTGGCACCCTAATTATCGCAAGTAGAAGACTCACATGTGATCATGGTGACAGAACGCAAAACAGTCTATTAAAAGCTTAACTGACCCGTAGGCGTGGCAAAACCTTTCCCCTTAGATTTTACTAGCCTTCCACACTATCATCGCCTTCACGGCGGAGAGATACTATGTCTTGCGGGCTACTTAAATAGGGCATCGGCAACTGGATTACTGTTTATTATCTTTTGGCCTACCCCTTTTCAATTGTGTGGAATGAGAATTTTATAAGTCGTCATGGAATAAAATGAACCTCGAGGATTATTAAAGCACCGTGATAATCGTAGAAAATTTTTTACAGGTGGATAACGTGGAAGTTGACGGTGTTGATAAAGTAGTTCATAAACAAATGAAACCAGTTCTTGAGATGACAAAAGTGAATTTAGGAATGTGACTTCCTTCATTTGGACATGTTTGCATATGTTAGTGGAATCCCTTCAAGGATCCATAAGTGACTATTGGTGACTTGTAGCCGTTATGATTTTTGAAGATTTGCGAATGTTTTCATGGATGTTTCAGTGAAGTGTGGGGTATGTTGCTTCAGATAGACTAGTTGCGTTTCCATATTGAGAACACCTCGAGATATGGAGGCGATGAATTTGAGAATTTGCTACAAGTCCATAATATTTACAGTAAGCATTTCAAATAAGGGATTAACTCTTATTCCTCTCAGCTGCAACAGAACACTAGCTTTGGCAGTTCTTCTCCGAGTAGACAGAATTTAATTATGTGAGTTCTGCTAGTAATGAATTGTGCAATACCTCTCATTTGTTCCGCATGAGTACCGGCCTTGATGAGTTCACCTAGGACACCTAGATGTGGATTCAACGCAACCAGCATTAATAGAAAAGTTGGAATAAAATGAGGAAAATTCTTGTGCTAGATAAAGGTGAAAATTACCCAGTAACCCTAAGGTTGCAAGCTTCACTCTCATGGATTTGCAGACCATCAGTGAAAGCATAACTTTAAGCTTCCTGTAACTAGTTCAGTAATTAGGATTAATTGAGTGGTTATCAAATGTCGTGCTCTCTGCCCACCTTTTCCCCAGAAGGAGTGTGTCTCATATGGATGAACTTGTTGAATAAGCATGCAACGGATCACACGTCAAAGTCTCCAAAAGGCACGTTGACCGAAATTCGGTTAGTTTATTGCCTTCACTACTTTTCGTGGGTAATTGAGGATTTTATAAGGCTTTAAAGTCCCACTCGATTGATCTTTTGAAAATAGGTCTTTACAAAGAATCGTCAAGGAAGACGATGATACCTTTATACTTGTATAGTCAAGTTATCACTGTAGCTTGCATTTTCGAATGAAAACTCTCTTGATCAAGAGCACGTATGTTAAGGATTTTCTTAAATTAACCATTCATCATAAGTAGTTCTGAGAAAGCAATTTCTGCGACGTGATACCGACGTCATCTTGCCACGAATAAACCCTTTCAAAATTTATTAAATTTACTATGTGAACAAGAATTTTGGGAGACAATGAGAGTTGGTATTGGTTTTATTTCTTAGTAGGAGCAATATAGACAACTTCAATTGTAGTCTCTCCTCCTACTTGAATACGCTTAACACAGTTTTACCATTGTTACGCAAACCGCATACTGATGTTACATCTGCCCTGAGTGGATTCTAATTAATGCTTTCCAACTTACGGCGTTGGTTGGCATATCTTCCTAAATGTTAATTCGAATTAACATTTCTTTAGGTATGTTCAGCCACCTTATCTGCTTAAATAAACACGTGAGTAATAAAAAGAAATCGTTAGTAGTTATAAATGCCTCATATGTCAATAACACCTTTTCCTCCTTTAGTCACTCTCATTCAGGACGGATTTTTGCGTGGGTAATTCATTTACCGCGGGTATTCAATTCAGGCAGCAAAGTAGATTCAGAATCGAACAATGCATGCATTGTTAATCCCTAAATACTGACGAATGAATGAATAGATTATGGGGAAGAAAATCAACAGGTTGCCAAATTTTGAAAAACTTGGCAATTCTTAATGAATGGGTGTATTCGTTTGTTTGGATGTTATAAAGGCGAGAATAAAACCAATGTTCTTATGTTTGAATAGAATGACAAAACTGTGCTTAGCATAACAATCTCTCAGTTCCCCACTTTTTATACCAAGAAAGTCATGCTAAACCACCTACTTTTATAAAAAAAAACAATTTCTAGGACCTATCTAAGACAAAGGGTTTTGTTCTGACAAATCCCAGTCCTTGGGAGTACACCTTGCTTCCGTCTTCCACCCAATTCTTGACATAAATTGCGTTTGATTTAATATTAGTAAAGTGACATTGTAATTAATAATGCTATCTGGCAAGGCTTAGGCGCGATTTACTTTCCCACTTAATTTTAAAATTAGCCGAGTAAATTTAACCCTGTTCAACAGGATATTCAGAGGAATTACGCTATAAAACTGATTCAGTCATTAAACCCATTGCTGCATCAAAATCATTGAGGAATACGAAGAAATGAGCAACTTCCGTGATGAAATCTATTAACATAAAATGCAAATGTGACATTCCCTACCATTTTGACTTCATTTTCATTTAATTGATTTTTAAATTCATTACTTATATGTAGTGCGTATTGCTGTTAATGAGCTGCTTGACTGACAGCATTTAGTATGCATGAAAGAACTCCGCAATTTTTGGGCCTAAATGATCAGAGTATACTGTCCAAATTCACCTGATCAGTTCTTTTGCTTGTAAGTAATCCACATTACATATATTTAGTAGATTTACAATATTTTCTGCATTATTTCTAAGGTATGGTGAGGTGTATTGCTTTTAATATCGGAGTGATTGACACGCCTGAGTCAATAATATTTAAATCTCTTTTCATCTTTCTTTAGCATATTTACCGGGCACTTTGGAATTGAATGTACCTGAAAACTGGAGGGACAGGATCGTGAACGACATACTTGCACCTTTAAATTTTCCGTGACAAATGATTTAAGTAGGCTTCTGACCTGTGTGTCTGCATCGAAAAGCGTCTTCACACGAATCGGAGAAGGGAGTGCATCTACGACTTCGAAAGCCTACTATTGTTTTAAATTTTTCAATTAACTACACATTTAATTTACTAATATTTGATTTCGCTGAAAATGAGGTTGAGTTGAAGATATTACAAGTGGCGTTAATATCCAGACTTCACAGGGGTGCGAACATAATGCATGACCAAAGTATTTAGTCTTCGAAAAAAACTAACAGTTTAAATCATTAAAGGTTTGATTTCGAGCAATTTTAGTCTTTCATATGCAATACTTTAAATGTATGTTTAACTCTCGGTCTTGGTAAGGAGCTACTTAGAGGCTGCGCTGTTATACCTCTAAGCCATGTCATCAGCCCCTATCCCTTCTATATATCGACAATACACGTTCTACCCAAGCATTGTGTCTTTCATCTTCAGATAAGTCTCAGAGGGCTATAGAGATCTGCCTAATTTGTTGTTAAAATATAGACGCCAAGAAGGTTAATAGAATTTCTTTGGAAACTACATTAGTCGCGGAATTCATTGTTAGTTTACGCAAGTCAGCTTCACCTATGTCGATTTCTTTAGTTGAACTATTTTCAATTAAGTCGCTATAGTGAGTTTCGTACAAACCCCTACCATCTTACCACTTTCACATCGGTATCAAGTGTTTCCATTTAAAGACTACCAAATCGTGTGAAGTGTAGATTTGTAAAAGCTTAAAAGCGAAACTGCAGGAGGGATGGCAACAACTACTACCAACTCATTAAGGAGCGATAAAGTCTTCCAAAGCCTAGAGAGGTTTTGTACCAAAAATGTGGGAAAATTGACAGAAGATGGTCTCTGTCGTGTCGAAATTACTTCAATGCGCATTATAATCAGTTAATAACATTTATCCTCACTCTGTAGTGTGGGAATATGCCACGTTTTAATAGATCTGTGGAAAATCTCGGCAGCATTATGCGGGTATTGTTGATAAACTGAAGAGGTGAAGGGGTTATGCTAATGTGTTATTCAATTATGCTATTGGCGACAATTTTAACGCTGACAATTTTGTTTGGAGTATAAAATTGGAAATTAAAATGTATTTCAGCAATCTTATCGTAGTCTTTTTTAGGTATTTTTTGTTCGTAATTTCCTTCCAAAATGCAAATGACCCTATTCTTTCCTACCTACTTTACTGAAGTTATTAGTAGTGTTTGGGTCAATAGTCTTCGACAAGGTGGCAACTTTACAAGACACCATACCTACGACAAAATCATCGACACAATTCGATGCGTGTTGCTAAAGTGCTTTGCTACTTATGTAAAGGATTACTTCTTTGCCATGAAACTCTAACCATCGTGTAATTAATGAGATCGAAAGTCAGGTACACAGAGCCTTGAGAACATAACTGCCAACTCTAGTAGTTTTATTTCGCCTTCCAAAATGTGGTTGCCTGCTTTAACCAAAAATACAATTGGGAAAGTAGAAACCACGCCACCAGCATTTTGTAAGTGTTTAGTCAAAAATTGAGTAATTTATTTTGAAGCAACAAAGTGACCCGGAAAATATGGAAGGTTTCGGGAGAACCGGACCGAATAGAGAAAATATAGGAAGGATGCGGCATTGACGGGCAGGGAACCCTCTTTTGTGCTGAGGCAGTATTTATGAAGCCGAGTGGCCTCAGGCTTAATCATAGGACCTTTTCGCTTACCAGCGTATTGAATCTCAGTAATATTCGTGGATGATTTTCATTTGGTAAATAAATAGAGCACATGTTTAAATATCGTTGAGGATTGGGCAAACTCTGCCCCTAATTAACTCATCCCTGTTCTAAAGCAGTACTTGTACCAAACAAGGATCAAGTGAATCATAACTTGCGATCGTTTTTGATTGACGTTATGAATTATTTAACAATTGAATGATTTGATCGTGAGATTTTACAGCTCTATAAACTATCGCTTTAACTTCAGGAATTTAAAATTGAATTTATTCATTTGCTTTAGGCGTTAGGTTGGAATCACCAAAATGTGGATGTCCATTTTAAAGGTTGAGCATATTCGTCCCATAATTGCTTTGCTTAGAACTGTCAATTAGGATTTAGTGGACGCTTCCGTATCACATGCCCCAGTCGCCTATCCGTAATCGTGACTATTTAGGAACTCAGGTCGTCAATTAAAGTGTCTGCTGAGGGACGCAGATGACACATAAATCCAAAGCTTCACCACAGCCTTTACGAAAGCGCACTGGTGTGTACGAAACCATATACTCCATCCTGATTAATTCAGTAACAAATCTAACTCTAGGAGACTTCAATTAATGGTGTGATTATGATATAGAAGTGCAAAGCCTCAAGACGTCGTTGAAGGAGAAGGAAGGCGGCGGCCGTACCTATGGGCGGAAGTAAAATAGTCATGCCCACTAGTGTCCTCGTAATTAAAACGAAGTGTTAGGCTAACAACTAAAGTATCACAGAAGGAATGAGAAGTATGAATCAGAAATCGATTTGAGGTCTGGTGCCATGAATAATTGGTTAAACCATAGATGTGAGTGAAGGAGAGATCTTTTAATGTATGTGTAACAAAGAAAAGCACTTTTTAATGGGAATTCCTAAAGATGAACTGAATCATGCTATCGGAAAATGGAGCCTTATTTACAAATACATTTTCACAGGCCTATTGATGGTTAGCTTTATTGTCTATTAGTACACCTATGCTTTTGTTTGATGCTCTTTCAAACTAGGGAATGCTATGAAGACAAGCGTCTTGCGTGTGATCAAGTTAGTGGTAGTAGCTTGAGACATGGCATCACTAGGATCCCTTCGTGATAATTGGCTCTGTTAACAATTTCCCCCGTAGCTCATTGATTGAATAATCCTTTTGATCTCCTTAATGTTCGCCTTCGACAACAGATAATAAAATGTGTGAAAAAACTAAAGTGAATACTTTGGTTTTTAAATACCTTTATGCATATTTTTACTTTCAAAAACTTATCAAATGAGGTTTTTCAAACGCCATAAGCTTTTATTTTACTTGAAATGGAGTAAGCCAGCTGCATGTTTGAAATGGTGTACCGCTTGGAAACCTTGATATCCAAAAAAATGTAGATCCACTCACAAAGTTCTCCCTTTTTGAACTTAAAAGTCATTTATTTACAGAAGGTTGTGAAATAAGTAAAAATGAGGAGGTTTACCTTAGGATTGGTGTCTAAGCTCATTCCTGTAACCCACCACTCAACATTAGGATTCCACTGTCTTTCCCAGAAAGTGATTAAGAAAGGCTGCACTAGCTGCACCCATTTGAGTTCGAAATTATTTTCAATCTGTATTGAAATGTCATCCAGCTAGAAAGCAGTACAACACGCCAAATAACTCTCAGTGTACTTGGAGAAGAAATGCCGCTGTTACTTGATTCCCACGCCTACAAAGGGCGTGATCAGTCCCCATTTCATAAGCTCTCGTTGCTGGTGTACTGCACTGTTAGGGAGTTTTCAAAACATTTCTGATCTTTGTGCCCCGAGAAAATCTCGACGTGGAACACAGCTAGTCTGTTCAAATCAGGCTTTAAATTTTCTGAAAGGAGCATTTAAATGCCCTTCGAAAGCATGATAGAAGCTGACTGTAAAGTTGCACCAAATATTCAATGTAACTTATTTCATTCATCTTCCTGAGAAGATAAGTTTATTAGCTGATACACGGCTTGCACTAAAATCCTACACTACTACTTAATGCCGAACAAAGTCAAATTATAATAATGCGAAGCTCTGGCCATATTCATGATTGCAGCCCTGTGGTCATTCCTAAAAGAATGAAAAATCGTGCGACGACCACCTGCAAACACTAAAAGATAGGAGACTCATTTGTCGTCATCCAAAATTGCTGCAACACTACTTTCAGTTCTGCCAGTTGGTGGACTTTACATTCATAGCCCAAAACCATCAGGCAGACTTGCAATGTGGATGAAAGGACAAGGTGTCCCACAAAACTTTGTTTGACCTTACGGACTCTGACGGCATAGTTTAATTAAAACCCTATTGAAAGTGGGCCCAATCTCTTTTTTAATTTTAAGCCTCCTTATTAACATTACCTTAGCAGGTTTAATTGACTAGGAGGAAAAGTGTGACTACAGGTTATTAAATGCAACTTCCACATAAATGAATGGCTTCCAGCTCTACATGCAAGCATCCATCCGTTGATGAAGAAAAACTAGTTCTCCAAATTGCCGAATCTCACAAATTACTAGTTTTAGAAGTTTCTTTCAGTATCGTATGTGCAATGCATTAAATGTTTGTTTAACTTTAGGTTTTGGTAACAAACCGCCTGAAGACTCCTTCCTTGCACCTCCGCCGAATGGCCTGGCCTCCGGGACATGCCAGTAGCTCCAAGCCCCCTTTTTACGTTGCCACTGCCTATTCAGCCCGAGTATTATGAGTTCGCTCTTCTTTAGGGAAGTCTTAGGGCGCTACACTGTGCAATTTGAACAGTAATTTACTCTAAAAAGAATGTGTGGATTTTAATTAGATAGGAAGATTAGTGACAAATCCTCCATATATTACCTTATCAGACTCGATGTTTTGACAAACAATGATATCTAAAATAAACGGTCATTAATTTAAATAGCTCAGATTCAACTTCTTTTAAATGCTAAGGGATGAGTCGGAATACGGTCACTTTCAGTTAATTTAAATGAACAACCAGAGTCTTGTGTCATGGTTGTGGCCAGTTTTTTAACACCAGAGCGAGTAAACCGAAAAGCCAAATGCCATTTGCATACAGGTCCATAGAACTATCAGTAGATGGTCTCGAGTTCGATCACCATTAGCCTAAATGGGTGTTCTATCTGTGGTAGTGCTAATGAAATTTAAAAGCGGTAATTTGGTGATTTGTTAGCTCTCCATTTTGGTCTTGCAGACACTTAGGGTTAGACCTTTGTACTTCAGCTGAGTGGTATGACCGCGTCATGGCAGTCGCCATCGCCATTGGTAAAACATATTCCACCCTAGTATCATGACTTCTGTCGTCTCCAGGATAGACTCACGGCGCTACATGAGCACTCTCACCCCCTTTTTCAAATCCAGGCTGGTTGTGTTCCAATTATTCAAATGAATATATTTTGCGAATAAAAGATGATAATGAAGCATAGAGGACTAGCCTCCCCACTGAAACAAAGGTATCATTTAAACTAATGAAATAAATGTTTCTACGCATTATTAGTGGGATCTGTAAAGTGTCAGTCTGAGTTATTTCTTTTCGAGCGGCTGGTGGGAATTAAATTAAATTGAGGAAGGAAGACTATTTCTAGACCTCTCAAATCTAAAAAACGTTAGGGTAGAAAACATTTATAACCACGCCTGGTTAGTCGGATTGGTATGAAATTCCTCGTCGACCTCCAGCGCCAGCTGGGATGTCATCACTACCCCTTAAATTATAGTTTACTAGGTTTAAAGTAACTTGACCGCGACTCTATGGACAAGACGAATTCATCATTTGTGTTTCATTGTCACAACTAAATGTGCCCATGATGCCAGTCGTAGCTCACAATCACTGGCATAATTTTCTTTGAACAAAAGTACCGATTGCAATATCACTGCCTCCTTAATTTACTGGCGTAGTTAATTTAACGATTGATAACAGGAATAAGTAGTTCTGCTTTTTAATTCTCAATTGCACAACTGAATTCGCGATCGCGTGCAAAACTGAGCACGAAAAGCAGGAATTACTTTCAAGTAGCGCGCATTCAATTTGTGACGTAGAGTGACCAAGCTGCTCATGACACCGACGATCCAAGTCAAGGACATTAATGAGTCTTTCTTCGTGGAAAAATCGTTTGGCTTAATTCTACTTGTCAAAATGTACCTTTCAAAAAGAAAACTGTGACACTTTGGAGATCTGACGAATGCCAAGTTGCCCCTAAATCTACCACACTGTGCAGCGTCCTTCTTAATGCTAAATGTGATTTATTAATGCTATCTTTCAGACTATGGGGAATCCTATAAACTGTCACGGACAAATAACGAGACTTTGTAGAGATTAGGGAACAAAATTTTATCGAAACTCGGGAAAAGCATGCAAACTTTGGCTGAGGTGATTCACCACCCCTAGGAAATCGCAACAGCTCCAGCATTGCAAAGCAAATTGACAAACTCTTAAAAGGGAAACATTTGGTCTGCTAGCGTGGGGCCCACCTCAGCATTCTACTTTGAATATTCAAATCTGGATCAGAATAAACAGGCGTATAATTTCCCATCGCGATTGGTACATCTGCTACTGGTCGTCCCAAAGCAACTATTTTAACCACGCAAGTACCACCACGCAGTCGAAGAGGGGAGCTTTGCTTCCGACGCCAATTGAAGTTATTGATAGCTAACACTGGCCGCGTAAGACCACCCAACCGGCCTCATTACTTATACAATACTAGTGATCACGCCTTCACTAAGAGGGGCTAAATGCAACAACTGCGACGCCAACTCATTGGTAGAAATAGAACTGGGCGCACACACCGTTAGGTCACCGAAGAAACACCTGTTTCTACTAATTCGAAGTCTAACGGGCCACTTAGGCGCATACGCCCAGTACTTGACGCAGCACTAATCACACGGGAACTCTACCCCCCCCCCCGAAGATAGCTTTTAAACAAGTACTGATATTTTAAAAAATGCGAGTGTGTACATTACCAGATCACCCGTCTTGTAAACTAAGATACAGATTACTACGAATTTACATGAACTTCAAGTTGACGCGACTAAAATCACGGAGAGGAACTTTAGAGACGTTCAAATAAAACTTGGGTTTGGAATCGGAAGTGTTCAATTAAAATATCTCTGGAGGTAGCTTTGTTGATAGTGGCGAAATCAGATCGGCAAGGAAGTAGTAGAGTAGTCCAAAGTGGAGAGGAATCACGCCTGGGACCGTTGGAACTGAAGCAAATCACCAAGCCATCCACACCAAGGCACACCCTCAAAAGTACACGAAAGATCTTGAAAGAAGGGGATGGCACCACCCATTCAGCAAGATATTATTTGTTCAGGTCGTACTGTAAGAAGTCGATTGCGCACGTAAACTTAGTATGATTGAAAATCGAAGTAGTCCGTAACATGACAGAAGTCCATGCCGCATCCATCGGCAATAAAGGTCTACGAATGTGCAAGAAAGCCAACTTTACGCTAACGATGAGGAAAACAATCGCATAGGTTATAAACTTTTAAAGATGACAGTTCTAAAGCAAGAGATGATAAGGATCATACTGAACAGCAGTGATGCACGGCAAATCCCAGTGTATGTCTTTGAAGCAGATTCAGAGGATTATTAAAAGGGTATTAATAAATATTGTGATGAAACGTAATTCATCTGCTTAAGAACCCACCCAGGGAAGAGCGCGCAGACAGGAAGTCTTTTACGCAAGCACCGTGAGATTGCGTTTCATCAGACATAATGGGTAAAGTATTTATTGATAAAATTCCCCACATCGAACGCAAGCTAAGGCCTGTTACAATTGCAGGACTAAGTGACAGTAAAATTTTCTTAACAAATAGACTCGTCAGTCAGCACCTACCACAAACTCTAATCCACAGTCAAAAACCAACCAGAAGGAAGTCAAGAAAGGCGTAAAGAATGCAAAAAAATTTGACATCTGTAAGTTACAACTTCCCAGGGCAAGCACGTCACCAAGAGAAGGCTAAATGAACATCATCTGTTAGATTCAAGAAGCAGTACTATCATCATCGGTTATGAGGTGGTAAACGGTATATGAGACCGTGCCATTAATAATCAAAAAAATATGTGTAAACACCGATATTTGTCAATTTAGGATCAAAATTAAGGCAAAAAGTTGGACATATTGAATTTTTTTTTCGAACAGACCCATTTAGCTTAAAAGTTTTGAAAATGCAAACTAGGAAGAAGATAAAATAAAGCATTGTTTTGTATGTCATTAGATCACTCTAAATTACTCTAAAACTATGTGATCAACAGTAATAGCCAAAATTTGATTTAAAAGTGAGTTGGTACACACTCACAAATACCTAATAGAATGAGAGCTCATAGCCAGCATTGAGTGATTTGTGATCATAAGCAGCTTCCTACCATTTTTCGTCCAACAAGACCTTGCAACAGCAAGTGGCGCGTTTTTCTCGCATGGGCTCTTGTAGCGCCCTGAGACTTCTCTGAAGATGAAAGAAGACATAATACCCGGGCAGAACATATATATTTAGCACAGAGAAGGTATTTTGGCTCCTGAAATGGTCTTAAGGCCAGCCCACGCGGCTTGGTACAGAGGCCATGTTAAAAGTGGCTCCTCGCCAAAACCGAGAGATAAACAACCATCTAATTATACTCTTGCCTTAGTAGTGAACATTCGCGTAATACCATAAGAACTTCCCACGGATGTGCAATTTCCTCTCTATTTTCCCTTCCCCCTTCAGCTTCAGACTTTCGGGTCAAGAAGAACGGTTAGAGGATGACAACATGGGTTGTAGGCACATAAAATTGTATAAATAATGCAAATTTTATGGGAAAATCCGGATTTGTTTCCTCCTCCAAACCCGATGGCGTCTACTAATTTATGGGCTCAATCCAAACTCCTCGCTTGACACCTAGAAGGTGAATTTAAACATATACATGACAAGGCTTTATAACTGTTCGTATGCCATTTTAATGTGGTTCCTTCGTTAATTGACACGTAAACCCCATTCTTGAATCCAACCGACGGTGCACTTCTGTAAGGATGCGTTTTATTAAGGTGAGCCGTGATTGGTTCTGCGTGGGTCTGTATATCGTTGGCAAAGTGATTTGTTGGAGAGATAGATTACCTTTATCACTCAAAGGCGGCTTTGCCACAGGGTTGGTAGAGCCCACAATGCACTTTGCAGGGTGGAATGGGTCTAGACGTTGGTAGACGTTGAGCCTTCTACCCTTGTCTTATTATGTCTTTTTCCCTCCATCCAACAAACATTGGTGGTCGTGCTCGAGCGTGGGTAATTAACTCACTTCTGGTGGCATTACATCCCCTGGAGTGCTGGGATTAAACACTTCAATGTTAAGCAAAGAGGATATTGGCTGGCGCCTCTTAAAACGATGAAATGTTAAATGATGAGTAGACTGCCACCCTATGCTTAGGGTGACACGGGTCTAGGTACAAATCTCAATCCCTCAGCAGAATGTCCTTAGTGAAAACCTTGGAAAGTCTGATTAAAGAGTGATGTATTCTTTCCACCTATTAACTGCCTTGTCGGCATATGTTGCATACGTTTAAGATTCCGGAAATATTCTGTAGTTCTCTATAAAATAAACTCTTAAAGTTGGCATTCTGATCACCATGCCCAGTCTCGGGAATCCAGTGTCGACTATCCACCGGTGGAAGGTAACAGGAGTGACGGTTTCAGCGTCTTGATTGTTCAGAGGTTTTACTTCGCGACTTTTGCGAAACGGTTTATCATTACAAAGATATACTGTTTTCTCTCTCTGTGTGGTCTTTAATGGACCCACAATGTCAATAGCTACTGTGTGTGCAGGCACCCTGTGGCGTGGATCGACGTGGTACAAGGATTGTGAGGTAGTCTTTTGAATCTACCACTAGTAATGCAGGCCCGGCACAAATCGCGTATAACTTCGACGGCTTACGATTCAATAGTGCCTTACGCTAGAGGCCTCTAGCGTCTTCTCTCCTCCTACGCAGTCTAACTTCTCACTTAAATCCTGACGAACACTTTGTACCAATGAACTTAAAACAACTAAGCGCCTAGGTAGGTGCTCCACTCCGATTTGGTAATACTAGGACCTCACCATCTGGGGACTGCTTCGACCACTTTTGTCCCATACGTCTAATTATTTTGCTTGGAGATGGAGTTCCTTTTACAGTTTTTTTGTAACAGGATGTGAGAAACCTCTAGTACACCAGAGCCGTATCAGGATTTGTATTTTACTTCTTTGCTGGTATTTAGTGAGTTAGTTCAATAAGATGGTATTGGTGGAAACGACGCTGAATTCTACAAGGTCTAGCTTGCGAGAAAAGATGTCAGCGTTGCCTTTTCTTCATTGCACAATGAAGTCGTGCTGCAAAAATTCCTTGTTTTCAACCAGGCCAATGCTTGATTATCTAAGCTTTCCCGCTATCCGACAGTGTCTAAAATACCTGACCATCGTGAAAATACAGACGAGGTCCCATTCGGGAGTAACTTGTGATATCTCCTGATCACATTCGGTATTTTCATTAGCGATGGCATATCCCCAACCATCATCATCCTTTTGTTAGAGTGAACCTACCAGAACTGCATTACTAGTGTCAGTGTCCGGGACAGATGGTGAGGCACCTGGATTGAAACTAAGTAATGCTGGAAGCAGTACGAAGCATAGAATTTGCTTTAGCTCTCTAAATATTTCATCGTGCTTTTTCTCTTACCCAAATTTGTCTTGTCTTGCAACCCGTAAGATGTTTATTGAAAATTTTAATAAATCGCCTACTAAGGTTAGGGAACTACGAAAACCTCCATGACTGATGGGTATTGGTCAGATCCTGACTAGCTTTTGTGGTCTCCTGTAGTTGCTACCACGCCCGAGGCGAAATTACTTTTCGGAAAAGACAATTAATATGTAAGGGCCGACATTTCTTTTCAATTGGCACCAAACATGCTTCTTACAGACATTCCAATACTAATTTTAGACTAGGGTAATGCTTCTGAATGTCTTTACTCAAACCGACTGTCTTATCTAGATTCATTTTGCAATATATGGAGAGTAGCATAATCAGTGTAGTTTGCGTAGGCTGTTGAAAAGTGGTCCCTAAGTTGAAGGAGCCGAAAGGAGACGTCTGGAATTTATAAAGACCATTGTGTAAGTTAAGAGACCTTGCATATTGTTCAATGTTTCTATAATGTCCGCTTACAAAAATTTTCGAATTTGATATGGGGAATTTGATTCGATGTCTGGAGGGAAACCGACTATTAATCTATGAGGAAAGACATCCTCCTCCGTTTTCTATAATCGATGCGCAGCCGAATGCTACTGTCCTTATTCCTCACTAAAGTAATCGGTGAGGTTCATTTTGATTTTGAGAGTTTTATGAACTTGTCCTTGAGCATCTCTTCGGTTAGACGATTTAGCTTTTCTGGTAGAAAGGCTGGTATGTGAATGGGTATTTGCCACTCGGTGTAGCTTTGTTGATAATGTGCGTTTTACCGTGCCAGTTCTTTCATTTCAGAACCCTGCCACGAGACAAATTCCTTTGCGCCTATTTAGCAACTCTAGACCTTCGTTCCTCTCATTACAGGTCCTGTAGGTAGTGAACTGGGATCATCCAAGTTGGTTATAAGTGTTGCCGTGATTTCCATTAGGACATCACAGGTATTGTTGGTGGCGAAATAATTATTACAATCTTTTATGCTACTTGACATCGATCAACTAAAATACCTAAACTCCTTAAAAGTACGTAGACTATGGCCTAGATGGTGGAATACGTATTCAAATACTGGAATCTGGCTAATGATTGTTAAGCCTTTAACAACACTGGTGATCAGATGTCCTGAGTAGTATTAAGAAGGCAAAGGTATCAATGAAGCTAACATTTTTTCACACCTAAACTTCTAGACTTTTGCATTTGTCAGCATGACAACGACCCCTTCCCATTTTAAGTTTTCAACAGGATTTGCATTTCTAAACGAAAATTTTTGTTTTTATTTGGAAAGAGTATGCCTTTGACCTCCTCGTATATTTTATGCCAAATACGCAAGAAAAATGCAATGATTACCTAGTTCTCAGCTGTTTCCTTTTTTGGTTAGAGTAGTTTATTCTCCGTTTACGAATAGCAAGCTAAAGTAACTAGTTGCTGTAGGAATAATTAAAATAAATATTCGAAATGGATTAAGCTACCAGGCACAAGCTTGGGAGAATCTCAGAGGCACCATCGAATGCGAGAACGCTAGAGTCGTTGTTTTATTCAAATAAATGGTTGCTTATTCGAACAGGGAAAATTTGATTGTGCCTGAGAGCCCCAGACTATCCCTACAGCTGCAATGAAAGGCGCCACCATGGAAGATTTATAACCACCTTACGGAATGGCTGGGAGGCTATGGGCTTGGGTACAACGCGCTTCCATCAAATAAAAACAACAAAACTGAAAAGCCTAGGAATTTCAGGTAGTTAAAGCAAACACCACCACTTTGCAGCAACGCTAAAGGGAGTCGTGCAAATTTTAAGTAGCTAAATGTCACCGTGACCAACTGAGCGGGGCCGTAACCTAGCCACAGAAATCAACTTTCTGTCTGAATGTATTTCTACTTTAATTAATTTAAGTAAAACGCCTGCTAGTGAAATATCTTTATCCTTTCAAGCACTTAGGTTTTGGTTGTGGAGGATCGAGTAAGAAAACGGATGTGGTTTAACATACCCAACCCCTCCAGATTCTTCGGTGTCACTCGAGAGAACTTAGGCCCATGTG